TTTGGCAGGATTCCCTCCTCTGGCCCTTCCCTTCTGCCTCCTCCCCGGACGGGCCCTGTGTGGGGAGAGGCTGCAGCCCCCAGTCTGGGAGGAGACAGAGCAAGGCATAGACACTTCAACCCAGAGGAGCGCGGGCGCGAAGGTTATTAGCTGGGTTTGGAAGGATGTGTAGGAGTCCCCAGTGACACCAGGCTGGGAGGAGTCTATCCCGGGACCAGTGGACAAGCAGATGCCTTCCCACTCGCACATCCTTTGAGCCTGTTCCCAAATACCCAAATTAGCTCAGATCCAGGACTGGCTATGTTGTGGGGGTTGGGTGTCTTCCATTGACATCATTCCCAGGGCCTGGTTTGGAGGAATAGAGGTGACCAATGGGTCCAAGTGGCAACCTGGTCCATAGGTGTGACACTCCCCCCTACACACCCAAAGCTCGTGCCAGGTACCTTGGCGTATCTGTCAGCTGCTGCTGAGTAACAAACCATCCCGTTCTGTTTGTTCATTATCCAGCAGGGTGGCAGGTTTGGTCTGGGCTCAGCTCAGCTGGTCGGTTCTTCTGCTGGCCTCTCCTGGGGTCACTTAAGCACTTGCACTCGGCTGGGCCTCAGCTGGGCCGGTGTCAGGGTCCCAAGAGGACAAGACTGGCTGCTGCAAGGTCTCTTAAGGCCTAGACTCAAACTTTCTGTAGCGGGACATTTGATTGGTCAGATCAAATCACATGGCCAAGTCCAAGAGGTTGGGGTGGAGAAAAAGACTCCTGTTTTTATTTATATACTTATTTGTTTGAGAGGTTTTTGCTATAGGGCGCATGTGCCCGCTAGAGACAGAGACAGAGAGACAGAAAGCGAGAGATCACTCCCCAGGGGGGATGGCCAAGCCACAATCCCTTCTCCTCCATTCTCCTCTCGGGGTCTTGGGCACGCACGCACACGTGCCAGGCGTGAGTTTTCTTGATGAAAAGAACTGCCAAGCCCTGTCATGAACAGGGAATGCAGCAAGTGGGCTGTCCTTCCCAACCGTCTATCATACCTGGAGGAAGGGCTATTGCTGCTGGGTTTTGAAGGCCGACTAGGAGTTGCCAGACAGATCCCACCCTGTAGGTAGGACCACGTGCCATGAGATTTGGCCGGCTGGTGGTGGGAGGTGAGCAGAGGTGAGGAGCTCCGGGGAAGAGCCCCTCCCCCACACTGCTGACCCTGACACCCCCTCCTCTCTCCGCAGATGGCGCGGCCGATCCAGGTGAAGCCTGCGGACAGCGAAAGCCGCGGAGGTAGTTGCTATTGCTCCGCAGCCGCCAGGCTGAGGGTGGTCGGAGGGGTGGGGTGGAGGGAAATCCCTTCTCCCGCTCAGCCCCAGAGGGGCCGTGGCAGGGGCTGCGGCTTTGTGGCCGGCCTTCCTGCCTGGGAGACAGCCGAGCCGTGCTCACCTGCCTGCACACGCGGAGGCCCCAGGCAGGGTGCGGGTGGGGAGCAGGGGCTGCACCCCCAGGCCCCGGGCACCGGCAGCTCTGGCCAGGCCTCGCTGCCTTCCCAGGACTGAACTGCCCTCTCCTCTCAATGCGCGGCAATGAGAACCTCCACGCAGAGATCGGGGTCCCCGAAGGGGCGTGTGTGCATGTTTGCACACACGTGTGGGGGTGTGCATACCTGGCATGCCTGTGCAGATGTGTCTCGTGCCACAAACCTGCTCTAGGAGTGCGCTGTGGGGTCACCCTCCTGCCTGCGCGGGGCCCTGGCATGTTCACACATGGGCACTTGTCTGCTGGAGGTGGACCATCTGGGTGGACTTGCAGTCTGGAGCCTCCGGGTTCTGTGCGGGGCTGGGCCTCACCATGGGGGTGTTCCCAGGGCGGCGGGAGGCCTAGCAGTCCGTGGTGGGATCCAAGACTAGTCGTTCTTGGAGATTCTTGTATTCCCTCCCCATCGTGGGTGGAAAAGGTCTGGTGGAGAGCCCAGACGGGAGAAGAGGCGTGGGGCAGGACTGCTAGGGTCCCTGAGTCTTGTCGGAGCCGGGTGAAGCTCACTGAGGCCGGAGGCACTTGGACATGCTCCAGTTGCCCGGCCGCCGATGTGGGACAGAGGTAGAGGGTGGGGTCTGTGTCTCCATCTCTGCTTCTTTTTTTTTGCCATAGGGTGCATGCACTTGCCAGAGAGAGAGAGGAAAAGTGGGGAAGCACCCCCTACCGGGACTGGCCATGCCACAGTCCCTTCTCCGTTTTCCTCTTGGGATTTTAGGCACACACGCACACACACCCGGCGTGGTTTTCAAGCTGCCGGTCAGAACTCTGACGGCGCAGGTGGGGACCAGTGCATAACCACCACGCCACCTGCTGGCCCCGTCGCTGTCTCTGTTTTTCTCCCCTGGTCTCTGGTTCTCTCTCTGCCCTCCTGTGTGTCTTTTACTGTCTCGGTCTCTGCTGTCTCTGTCTCTCTCCCGGTGTCTCTCTGATCTGTCTCTTTCTCCCTCGTTTTCTCTCTCTCTCCTTCCTACCCGTGAGTGACAGCTGCTGGAGAATCATTTCCATAGCGACCCAGCTCAGCATCCCTGGGAGCTGAAGCTGTTCCTGATTCCCGGGAGCAGCGCAGTGACCCAAGGGGGCAGAGCTCTGGCCCAGCCCCTGGCCTCGGGTCTGAGGTTCGGGTCCCCCAGTCCAGGTGGGGTATGGAGGCTCCCCTGGCTCCTGGGCCTGGGTGCACTGCCCAGCTCTTTGCACAGGCTTGGTGATCTGGTGCCTCCCAGCAGTCAGGCAGTGGCCTAGCGCCACGGCGTCTCCTAGCCCTGGCACAGTGCGGGCTCAGTGCACGGAAGAGGTCGTCTGTACCCCGAGGTCCCGCGGGGCTGAGAGTGGGCATCCCAGACGGGGCATCGTGGGCAATGCCTGGAGCTGGGGCGGTGCAGGGTGCGCGGGAGGGCGGAGCTACGGGGCTGGGAAGGCAAGGCCGTGCCTTCCCCTCTGGGACGCAGAACAGGAGCCGGCACAGCGCGGGACTCTTCTGCAGGCTTCTCTCGTGAGGTGGGCTGGGGGCTTGGCTGAGGTGGCTGTCCCCGCCCGCAGGGGACCGTAAGCTGTTTGTGGGAATGCTGAACAAGCAGCAGTCGGAGGAGGACGTGCTGCGACTGTTCCAGCCCTTCGGAGTCATCGACGAGTGCACGGTCCTCCGCGGGCCAGACGGCAGCAGCAAAGGTGACCAGCAGGGCTGGGGAGTGGCTGCAGAGAGGGCGGGGCCTGAAGTGTGGGCGGGACCTGGCAGGAAAGAGGCTGGACGGAGGGCGGGGCCTGCGGTGTGGGTGGGACCTGGGAGGAGAGAGGCTGGAAGGAGGGCGGGGCCTGCAGCGCGGGCGGAACCTGGCAGGAGAGAGGCTGGACAGAGGGCGGGGCCGGCTCTGAGGGCGTGGCTAGTGGGAAGGAACAGGCTCCGGGGGTTCGGCTGGGCTGGCTGACGCGGTTGGGCGAAGCCGTAGACTCCCACCCAGTCCTAACCCTCTGGGACTCCCTGCGCCCTGCAGTTTCTGATTCATCCACCGGTGTACTCATCCACGGACGTGGTCCGTGAGACTGCGTCTGTCTGGATCTGCCTGCGCCTCTGAGTTCCTGCCTTCCTGCCCCAGGGCGCACAGGGGTTCTGTCTTCCTGTGGCGGGGATCTCACCGCCTGCCTGTCTCCCTGGGCGTTCACCGACCTTGCTTACCTGTCTCAGCCCTGTCTTCTCTTTTAATTTAATTTAATTTAGTTTCGTTTTTGCTGTAGGGTGCGTGCACACTTGCTCAAGAGAGACAGATAGAGACAGAGAGGGAAAATGAGAAATCACCATTCAAGGGGGATGGCCATGCTGCAGTTCTCTCGGGATTTTAGGCATGCACGTACACGCTCCTAGCGTGATTTTCAAGCCACCAGGCCTGAGACTCGAACCACAGTCAGCCATGTGGGAATCCAACTGCCTTAACCACCATGCCCCCTGCTGGCTCTGTCTGACTTCTTTTTTGATATTGAGACATAACTGCATGCCATCAAATTCACCCTTGCAAGATGCCCAACGCGGTGCTTTTCAGAATACGTGCAAAATTGTACCACCAGGACCCCCAGTGGCCCCACAGCGGTCCCCACGGCTGGGTGTCAGCCGTCCTCCATCCGGCTGGGGCCCGACGACTGTAGCCATCTAAGTTGGCCTGGGTCTGGCGGTCGTTTGTCCATCGCTGGAGGCTGCCTGTGTGACCGTCTGCGGGTCAGTCACCTGGTGCTCGAGGACGTCCATCTGTCTGACCTGTCACACTGGTGGCTCTGATGGGGCTGTCACCTAAAACACACCCATTGGCCTCGAACCACCTGGGCCTTGTGCCCACGGGCCTGCCCCTCTCGGCCCCTCCCTGTCCTGAGGGCAAGCCCTCCCTGACACTGCCTCACTCGGCCCATCTGCCCCGCTCCTGGCCAGCTCGCAGGCGGTCCCTGCCGCTCTCCGACACTGGCTGACTTTTGGGCCGAGGGGGCGAAGGAGTGGCTGTGTGGGGACGCTGTCCGCCCTCGGACTTTCTGGCCACCTGTCCAAGGGGTGGGCCCACTGTGACCCTCAGGCTGTTAGCTTGTCCAGCTGTCTGTCCGAGCGAATGGCCAGCTCTCCTCTGCTCGCTGACTCCCCCTCTCCAGCTGCACCCCCTCACCTCTCCTCCTTCTCCCGGAGCAGGCTGTGCCTTTGTCAAGTTCTCCTCCCACACGGAGGCCCAGGCGGCCATCCACGCCCTGCACGGCAGCCAGACCATGCCGGTGAGTGCGGGCGGCGGGGCGGCAGGCGCTCCACCTCTGCAGCCGCCCACCCGTCCCTCCCTGTGCTGTGCACCCTGGCTGTGGTGTGCGGGCACCGGCACGTGCTGAGGCCGTGCGTGTGGGTGTACCTCAGAGTGTGGGTGTGCAGTGATTGGTAAGGGAGGGTTCCGTGAGGTTGCGTGCACGGGAGGTGTGGGTAAGTCTGCGTGGGTAACGTGTGTGAGCCAGGTGAGTGTGCACGTACGTTGATGCGTGTATGTTGATGTGTGCGTGTGAGCATGCATGTGTGCAAACGTGTGAGTCTGCCTGGGGTGAGTGTGCATGTGCACAGCTGCAGTTATCTAAGGGTGGGGTGTGTGCATGTGAACACGTGTGAACACACGTGCATGCTTGTGGAGATGCACGTGTGAGTGTGAGTGCGACTGTGTGACCACACGTGTGCGCATTTTGAGTGTATGTGTGTCTGCAGGTGCAGATGGCAACCGTGAGCGTCTGTGGGGACCAGTGTGTGCACGCGGGTGGAGTGTTGCCGTGTGTGTGTGGGTGCGTGTCTACATGAGAGTGTCCCAGAGGGGATGAGACGGGGCGGGGGCGTGGCTTGGATTTCCCAGGCCAGGCACAGGGCATGGCAAGAACACGGCCCAGGTGGGAGTGGGCAGGGCTCAGCTCCTGTACAGAGCTGTGCAGTGACAGGGCTGGTCGCCACGGTGGGGACAGGTCCCCACGAAGGCGGGCATGCTGGAAGGCTGGGGCCGGACTGCTGGAAGGAACCGGCTGAAGGACACGCGGGCCCCCTCGGACCTGCTGCAGAGGTACCCCTCCCAGCAGCGGCATGGTGCTGCAAAGGTCAGGGTGATGCCAGAGTTCCTGCCCCCACCAGTGAAGCCAGGGCCTTTCCCTGCTGGGGGCAGGCGCCTGTGCTCCACAGGTGGGCTCGAGCTGGTGGCGGGACTCCCTGCAGGTTCCGCGGGGCGCTGTCCTAGGACGGTCTGGCTGTTGTCCCTCTCCCACGGCCAGAGCCTCACCTGCCCTCAAGCATGGGTGGCAGCTGCAGCTTTGGCGGCTGGAGTCTCTCCCGCCCTCGGTGTGGGTGAGCCTTCTGCCCCTGCAGCGTTGGGTGACTGTTTCCGAGGACTCGGTTGGCTGCCGGCCCCTCCCGGCCGCCCTCCAGGCACAGCCCCGGGCCTGGGCATCTGTGCCATCAGGCTGCCTGGTGCGGGATACCCATCTCGCTCTGGCCCCAGCTACGCAACCGGGGGTCCATGCGCATGGCAGACAGCCGCCTGCTTCTGCAGCCCTCGCCAAAGGGCCCGAGTGGCCTGGCCCCGGGACCCCAGAGTTCTGTGCTGCCCTGCAGGGAGCCTCGTCCAGCCTGGTGGTCAAGTTCGCAGACACGGACAAGGAGCGGACGCTGCGGCGCATGCAGCAGATGGTGGGCCAGCTAGGCATCCTGACGCCGTCCCTCACCCTGCCCTTCAGCCCCTGCAGTGCTTACGCCCAGGCTGTGAGTGCCGCACGCCCGCCCCCTGCCCGCGCTCCTCGCTCGGCCGATGTCCCTGCCTCAGTCCTACCCTGAGTGCCAGCCCCAGCCAGGGCCCCAGCATGAGCTGAGCCCTGACCCCAACTCTGGACTGACACCACCCCAGGCTCAGCCTCTCAGAGCCGAGCAGAAATCCACCCTGAGCTGAGCCCCATCTCAAACAAGGGAGCCCCTGATCCCAGCTGGGCCCTGACCCTGACGGGACCCTGATCTCCAATCTGGACCCAACCTTGGCTGTGCCCTGAACCTCCAAATTCAGTCAGCTCCTCCAGCGAGACCTGGCCTAGTGGAGATCTGATCCAGGCCGAGCCCGGAGCCCCATTCCCGAGTACACCCTGATCCCAGGCGAGCCCTCATCCCAGCCTGGCGCCCCCGGGAGCCCGGGACCCAGGCAGTGAGCCCCCCTGTCCCTCCCCAGCTCATGCAGCAGCAGACGACCGTGCTGTCCACCTCGGGCAGCTACCTGAGCCCCGGCGTGGCCTTCTCCCCCTGTCACATCCAGCAGATTGGCGCGGTCAGCCTGAACGGGCTGCCTGCCACCCCCATCGCGCCTGCCTCTGGTGAGTCCGCTGGACCTGAGGCGGGTGGGCAGGGTGCCTGTCCAGTGGCCCGGGCTCCCCATGACGCTCCTCTGCCCCACAGGACTGCACTCACCCCCGCTGCTCAGCACTGCCGCTGTGCCCGGCCTCGTGGCCCCCCTCACCAACGGCTTTGCAGGCGTCATGCCCTTTGCGGGCGGGCACCCTGCCCTGGAGACTGTATATGCCAATGGCCTCGTGCCCTACCCAGGTAACTCGGGTGCTGCCCAGGGCCAGGACAGGGGCAAAGCAGGCTGGGTGTCTCTGGAAGAAGCCTGCGTTCTGAGACTACGGTACCCAGGGACTGCAGGAAGCAGAATCCTGCTCTCCCCGCACTCAGGGCTTCAGGGCAAGCCGCTTCCAACTCTGACTCCGTGAAATAAGTCCTCTGAGCCTTTAGCTGCCAGAGGGGGCCCGTGCTCCTGGAGGCCACAGCCAGCAAGAGGGAGAAACAGCCAGCAAGAGGGAGAAAGCACCCCTGATGGGGCGTAGTCACACCAAATCCCTTCCCCTCCATTTCGCCGACCCGTGGGGTTTAGGGCATGCATGCGCCCATGCGCATGGGCTGGGATTCAAACCGGGAGGCTGGCCGTGGACTCCACATGCCTTAACCAGTAGGCCACAGGCCGGCCCTGTTTTTAACTCGTGCGGAAATGCTTAAACGCCACAGGGAGTTGCAGAAACAGTACGGAGTGGTCCCAGGGGCCTTTCACCGGCTGCCCCATGCTAACATCATACACGGCCAGGGTCCATCCGCAAAGCCGGGACAGTGCCCCCGGCCAGAACCAGAGCTCCACTCAGACGTTGGGACTTCACCCTGGTACCTGCGCCCATGTGTCTGTGTGGGGGTGTCTGTGCCGCCACCACCACCCTGCCCCAGCACGCTCTCTGCTGAACTTCCCCCGACGCCGGACTTTGGGGTTGGGACCACCTCTCCTCCCCTAGTGGCAGCGGAGGGGGATCTATGAGCTAGCGGTGGGGATGCAGCCAGGCAGTTATGGGGCGGAAGAGTGAGGGGACCCTGGGGAGATGAGAGGTCGGGACAGGGAGAGAGAAATGGGAGTGAGAGTTACACCTTTCGGGAGCCCGAGGAACCCGGATTCTAGTGCGGAACCTGAGCGTCCCAGTGCGAGGGCTTCGCCTCTGAGCCTCGGTCTCCTCGCCTGGGAAACGGGTCACGGCTTTAAAGGCTTTAGCGCGAAGTGGGGCAGATGTCAGCGCTCACTCTGGCTCTAACGGGCAGGGGTGGATGGACACTCCTGCTGCCCTCACCTCACTCAGCCCTCCCTCTGCCCCGCAGCTCAGAGCCCGACGGTAGCTGAGACGCTCCATCCTGCCTTCTCCGGAGTCCAGCAGTACACAGGCAGGGGGGCGGCCCCGCCCCGCCCAGGCCCCAGCCCCACCCACAGGCGGTTCCCTCCCCCTTCCCTCTTGTGTAGCCACGCCTCCTATCTCTGGTCCTGCCCCCAGCCCACTCTTGGCCCCGCCTCTTCCTCCTCCCTTCTATCTGCCAAAGCCACGCCCCATCTCTAGCTCTCCTTTCCAGGGTCTGGTGGTGGCCCCGCCCTACATCTTGTCGCCCTGCCCCCTAGCTCATGGCTCCACCTCACCTTGGTTTTCCATTTGGTCTTGGCTCCGCCCCTCCACCGGCCCCAACCCGGCCCCGCCTCTTGAGCTGTGGCCCCGCCCCCTGAGCCATGGCCCCGCCCCATGCTTCCCTTCCACCGTGGCCACGCCCTGTCCCGCTCCGCCCCGTGCGGGGCCGCCTGGCCTCACGCCCCGCCTCCGCCCTGTATCTCGCTCCGGTCTCCGCAGCCATGTACCCCACCGCGGCCATCACGCCCATTGCGCACAGCGTCCCCCAGCCGCCGCCCCTCCTGCAGCAGCAGCAGCGAGAAGGTGAGGCGGCCGTGACGTTCCCCGGGGCCAGCCCCCGCACTCTGACCGCCCCCTCCACCGCAGGCCCTGGGCCTGGCCGGCGAGTCGTGGGTGTCCTCGGGCACGGGATCTCCCTCTCCGAGCCTCGGTGTCCTCCAGCAAGTGGGCCCCACACTAGCCCCGACCCTGGCAGAATGAGCGATGACCTACCAGCCCTGTCCAGAACCGAGGGATCCTCTGGTTTTTGGAGAGGAAATTCTTTTTGAGGTTGGGGTGTGGCACCGTGGCGAGGCCTCCCCAGTAAAGCCAAGGCTGTCTGTCAAGGAGAGGAGGGGTTAGATTCTGGAGTCCCACATCAGGAGCTCAAATCCACCCAGTTCCGACGTGCGGCACCCTAAGGAAGGTACCTAACTGGCCCCTGCCTCAGTTTCCCCATCTGCAACGTGGGCGACCACCCGTGCCTGCAGGCATTAAAGAGAAGTGACAATGGCGGGGTCCTGATGTTAACGGTGACACGTAGTAGTAGCTCCACACGGGGGACTTCCTTCCTCCCTTTAATCCTTCTGTGTGTACACGCACGTGTGTATGGTGGGTGGGCGTGCTGGGGAGAAGGGGCCAGCCAGGAAGGCCGCCCATCACCAGGGCCTGGCCCACGGGCTGCGTTCTTTTCAGTTGTACTGTTTCTCCCGTCCTTGGCGTGTGGATGGCGGACACTGCCAGGGTGCTGGATCTGCGCTTTGGACACCGAGGGGGGCTCCTGGCCATGGCAGTCAGCTGCTTCTCTGTCATTGGTCCCATGCAGTGTCCCCGAGAGGCTCAGAGGTTAAAGCCACCTCCAGATGTGAAGTTCATTGCTCTTGACCCCCAGAGCACCCCTACACCCCACCACAGGGTGGCGCTGGCGGGAGCTGCAGCGGGCTCAGCCACTGAAGACCACCGATGTTCTTTTTCTTGGAGAGGTTTTCGCTATAGGGCGCATGCGCTCGCCAGCCAGACAGAGAGAGACAGAAAGCGAGAAATCACCCCCCAGGGGTATAGCCAAGCGACAATCCCTTCTCCTCCCTTCTCC